TATTTATTTATTTATTTTTGTACCCTGAAGAGCATGTGACGGTGGGATATAATGGAGTATCTTGATTGTGAACTGAAGTTGTTTTATAGCTCAGGTTGGTTTTGATGAGGTGTGTCTGATCATAACATGCTGTATATTTGTATCTGACATGAGACTGTCTCTCTTTGTAGGTGTATATGGGGATGTATTGAGAGTGAAAATCATGTTCAACAAGAAGGAGAACGCTCTCATACAAATGTGTGATGGGACACAGGCTCAGCTGGGTAAACAACCTTAAAATGATTACAATTTGCTTGCAGAAGGAGCAGAAATTTTATATATACACGTATACAAATATAAGTCTGGGGTCAGTACGATTTTTTACAATGTTTTAGAAAGAAGACACTTGTGCTTAACATAGCTGCATTTATTTAATTTAAAATATTGTAAAAACAGTCATATTGTGAAATGTTATTACAATATATAACAACTGTTTTAATATTTTTAAAATGTAATGTATTTTAAAAGTTTTCAGTGTCACTCTAATTACATCTAATTTTGACAGTGTTTTTCTAATATTACAATTTATTTGTTGACAATGTTGAAAACTGTTGCGCTGCTTATTTTGTTCAATATTCTTTGATGTATAGAACGTTCAAAAGAACAGCATTTATTTGTATATTTATTTGTAACGACTTTACTCTCACTTTTGATCAATTCAGTTTATCCTTGCTGAATAAAAGTATTAATTTCTTTCAAAAAATGACGCCGATCAACACTGCAATAACTGGCTACTCATTATATTCACTTATTGGAAGTGTTGTAATGTCTTCAGTCTTTCATCAGAAATGGATAAGTTCATATTCCATAATCACACTGTACTTTATAACCACTACAACGATGATTCACAATCAACAAATAAAGGTTAGCAGAAGGCTATTGGCCATGCGGTGTTTTACAGCAGTGTTGTTGATATTAGATAATATTAGCTGTGCTTTAATGCACAAACTTAGTCATAAGTGTCCCA